GCTTTTCTGGAGCCCACTGTTAACTGGACTCGCTATCTTTAATAACTACCCTCAAAATGGTACTCATCACTGACAACCTCGGGAGATGCTGGTTTGGAGGAGCCCAGAAAGGTGGGGAAGCAGGAAAGACCTGCGAACCCTGCCGCTCCCCTCGCCCTGGTCCCCAAGAGGAAGTCAACGGTCATACGTCCCAGTCCCCCAGCGCTGTAGGGTGCCCTGGAGAAATCCCCGCTTCTATCCTCCCGCCGAAAGACCCCTCCCCCAGGGCCACTCTACTTACAGATCTCCAACTGGGGGGCTAACGGAGGAGCAACTGGATGGAGAGCTCAGATCTGGCACACCTCCCAGGCAGGGGCGTCCAAATCTCCCCGCTGCCTCAGACGCCTCTCTTTATAGAGCGGTCAGCGGGTGGGAACCGGAGGCGGCCCTGGGGGGCGGAGTGGGGGAGGGTCCGGCGCCGAGCGCTGCGCAGCGCCCCCTGCAGGGTCGGAGAAGCGCGGGTCCGGGCCGGGCGGTTGGGCGCACCTGCCGCGGAGCTGGGGAGAGGGGCGCACCCGGCAGGGGCGCAGCGTCCTAGGAGCACCCCGCAAGGGGCTTTGGGCGGGTGTTTCAACTCCGGCTACGGAAGTCACCGAGACTCCGGGCTCCTGGAGAAGCAGGTCGAGGGCCAGCGCTGATTGGGGATGCTTGGGAATATCTACCGAGTCAGTCCCAGCCTCCCGGGCTTTAACCTCTTCCTTTCCTCGGCGGGGAGGTGGACACCTCCCCTCCCCTGACCCCCTTTTATTCGCTCCCATTGTCTGCGTGAAGGGTGGGGGAAGGGGATTTTCTGAACTTTACAAAGTGCAAGGCAGGAGCCCCGGACTGTTGGGAATTGTACTGAAAGGGGAAGTTTCTACTTTTCCCAACTCTCGATCCCCACCTTCACCCACAAACCTAAGAAAATCCTGCTCTTGTGACTTGTGGCACCGGGTGTGCCATTCGCGGCTGCGAGACCTCAGGAAGTCATTTCCCTCCTCAGACCCTCAGTGTCCGCAGCTGGAACGTGTGCGTGTGTCTGGAGATAATTCTATCATTTGGAAGGTGCTTGTCAGGAACCAGGGGAAATGTGGGTGCGCCCGCACCCGTAAATTCCTTTCAACTGCCCCCCCAATAATTCTTGCAAATTTAGGAAGGAGCTGCCTAAAAATTCACTCCTCTCTCCCTCCTCATCCTTGCTCTCCTCTCCCGTGTCTGACACTGTCCCACCATTGCTTTATTTTTTCCTGTCGCGTTGTCTGTGTGTCTCTCCCACATCGCCCATCACTGTGTCCCGCTCGGAATGTCTGTCCCGAATCTTACTGCCTCTCTTGTGTGTTTCTCCTGTGTGGTCTCTGTGTCTCTCCGAATGTCTCAGTGTCTCTGGTTCCGGATCTCTCCGGCTTTCGGTCTTTCTCCCCCATCCCCTGGTCCCACGCACGCACACCGGCCATAAAAGGAAGTCGAGGCGGTGGGCTGGCGGGGCTCCAGGCCGGGACCCGCGGGCCGCCGGGGCGCCCAGCTGCCCGCCCCGCACCGGCTCGGAGGTCCCGGGGACGGGCGCTTCCTCCCTCCCCCGGCGTGGCGTGCGGGCGCGGGGCCGGGCTGGGGGCGCCCAGCGGGAGACAACCCAAAAAGGGCAGGCGCGGGCTCCTTCCAGCAGGAATTCCCAGCGCTTGCATACCAGCCCGGGGCTGCCCGCTCCGGCTGCCTAAATATGGAGTCGAGCGGCCTCCCGGCACGGCGTGCAAGAGGGTGGGGGCCAGGCACCCAGAAGGCTGCTCGGGGTGCCCGGCATGGGAACCCGACCCCTCTGCCAGGACAGAGAGCGAGGGGCCAGACCCCCCAGTCCCACGTGGATCCCAACTACTTCCAGATGGCGGGTTGGGGGAGAGTTGAGGATGCGAAGACCCTAGCCAACTCGGTGCTTGGCACTAGGCCTTCAACAAACCCTCATGGCAAGGTCAGGAGTTGCGGGGGTCGTTATTAATACCCCCATTTTGCATATAAGAAAACTGAGGCCTTAAGGAGCCAAGAGATTTGCCCTCACTCTGGAACTGGAGCCCACAATTGCCGTGGCTCAGTTCTAGAGAGACTTTGAAGGAAAATGCCCAGAAGTGGCCTGGGGGGCTAAGGTCCATTCTCTGAGGTTAGATGACTGGGTTTGAATCTGCTGGTGTCCGTCTAGCTGTCTGACCGCCAGCAAGTGACTTAACTGCTCTCTGCCTCAGTTTAGCTACCTGCAGAATGGGAAGGACATTAGTTCCTTCCTGTTTGCAAACAGACCTTGAGATGACCCACGTATCACACTGCTCGGTCTTGGGAGCTATGTCTCTCAAGTAGAGGTGCAGCCTGGGGGATGTGGTGAGCCTGTCCTGTCCAGGTTTGCCAGCAGGTTCCCAGGCCCCTCTGCAGATCCCTGCTTCTCACACCCCTGTTCCTTTCCTCCAACACAAGCTCACCTGGTTTTCACCCCTGAAAACAGCCCATGCTCCCTGCCCCACTCAGAACCCCAATCAGTCAAGACCAGTCATCTTCTAGCTGGCCAGGAAGTTAGGGGGTAGGTTCTGGAAATGATGGATGGGTTGCTTCTCCACGTGCCTTTTAATGTCTACACTGTAAAAGGAGTGGAAATTGTACAGAAGTGACAGAGAGCAGAGAACAACGATGGAAGGGGGAGCTCAAGTGGATGGTCACCTTCCCATCCTAGAAAGATAATCCAGAGCTGGCTGTCAGAGTCTATCTTGTTGGCCTCCAAGTAACTACTGGCATTTTTAGTGGAAGCATGAACATTGGCACTTACAAAGGAATTGCATTTGATGCTTTCAAGAACTTCTCAGTAACTTTGAAGAGAATCCTACTCAGTAACTTTAAAGAGAATCCTAGTAAGTTATTCATAAATGAAAGCTTTATAACAACACTGATTTTTATTGCAGTCTCACCTAACCCTTAGGGGTTCTTCTTTCCCCCTCTCATTTTGCTGTTGAAAAACCAGATTTGGTGACTTAATTCCAAGGAAACACAGTTCCTGCTGGAACAGAAATTCCAACACCAGCTCCTCCTCTTTGCTCTGATAGCGTCCAGGGAAGCGGACTAAAACTGTGACCTCAGACCTAATAGCGCCCCCAGGAGCATCAGGATTGCCAGTGCTAATCTCTGAGCCTGTTTTCTCAGGCTCCAAGTGTTCAGAAGGTACCTCAGCCACCTCCCAAGATGCAAACTGCGAGAAGATCTGCAAGCATGCCTCTCTGGTACAATCTTCTGCAGGCCTCTGGACGGCACAGGCCTGAGTCAGGGCTTCATCAGACATGTCCATGGCACAGGCCATCTGTTTCACTCTTCAAAGCCCATTATTATAAAAATTAAATCAGATGTACAAAATGATGTAAAAAAAATTAAATCAGATGTCTGTTTTATGTCTCCTGACTTAAAAGTCAGTTATTTTGAGATTGGGGGTGGGGGGGAGTTACTTTGACTGAGAGCTATCAAGTCAGTTTCCTTGGAGAATGGGAGCCTACATGGGGGTTTCTATGAATTCATGAAACAAGATGGCTGGAAGAAATTTCTCTTGGGAACTTTTTTTTTCCTTAAAGCAAATAGTTTCTTATTTGAAACTACTAATTTCAGAAACCCCAAATTGCTTTTTTTGGTATCAAAAAATTTTTTTGAAGATTTATTTATTCATTCATATGGAACTGGGGTACAGGCCAGAGATGTGGAAGGTGAGAGGATTCACCAGAGACAGAGTAGGGAGCAGAACAGGCAGATCGACGAAGTACACTGCTGAGGGGAGCAGTGGGCAGGTCAGGAGAGGTCTGCCGCGCCATGTGGATATCCTCCAGGGCAGGCGGGGATCGAACTCATGCGGAAGTGGCTTTAGCTTCTTAGTGCTGTGCTTTAACCTGCTGCGCTACCAGGGAGGGCCTGGTATCAAAATTTTTAACATTCAGTTTTTAATATTGAAGATTGGGTCCATGCATATGCTCCCCAATTTCATTAATGAAACGTGCACACACTGGAGTCATCAAGCCCCAGATCTGCACAGGATTCTGCCTGCTTGTAAAGAAAGGGGTATTGTTCCTGATCTCAGTCAAGGCTCTAATCACTCTCTTCAGCAAAAGCACTTGTTTCACTCAGGAAGGCCCCAGCCTTCTCCAAGAACAGCCCGCATTGTAGAGTAATCTGCAAAGCTCTTTCCCCCATTACCATTTCCAAGTCTGCTGTGGTAGTAACTCCAGATTCTTTTCCACTTCTATCAAAAAGACTGGCTCTAAAATTCTCAATAAAAGTAGCTTTATAGTTTCATACAAAACTGAACATTCTTACCACATGACCCAGTAAATCAGGCTTCTTGAGATTTACCCAAATAAGTGGAGACTGATGTCCATTCTAGCTCTTCGCACAGATATGTATAGCTGCTTTATTTATAAGCACCAAAACTTGGAAGCAGCCAATATATGCTTTAGTAAGTGAAGAGATAAATTGAATAGGGTACATCAGATGACAGAATATTACTTGGCACTAAAAAGCAATGTGCTATTTAGCTATGAAAAGACATGAGGATACTACTGAGTAGAAGAAGTCAGTCTTTTGTGTAGGCACATTCAGTATGATTCTATCTGAGATTCTAGAAGACAAAATTATGGGGACAGTAAAAGGATCAGGTTGTCAGAGGTGAGTGGGGAGGGATGAGAAGGCAGAGCATGGGAGACAGGTAGGGCTGTAAAACTGAGCTTCATGATACAGCGGTTGATATGCGTCATTAAGTGTCCATTAAATGTACACCACCAGGAGCGAACCTCAGCGCCGACTCTGGGCCTCAAAGGATTATGACAGTCAGTGCAGTCTCATTAACTATAAAAAAGGCATCCCTCTGGTGGGCGATGCCATCACAGGGAGGCCAGGAAAGGGGCAGTAGTGACTGGCAACTCACTGTGTCTTATACTCCATTTCTCTGTGAACCTAAAGCTGCTCTAAAAATCATTTTGAACCTTACCTTAATTTTTAAAAAGATAAAGACCACATAATCCTTACAGTACTGTTGTTAGAAAAGCCAAATACCAAGTAGCTGGGAAAGCATTGCCCAAATGCCTTTAAAGGCAGCTTCTCACAAATGTTAATCTTTTATGTACACTTGGCTTTAGGTTAAAAGAACACATCAAATTTTATATAATCACACAGGCATGTGAGTCATACACAAATGTGTTCTTGCACATAATTATAAAGCTATTAGTTTATTCTTTGCAAACATATGCTAAGCTTAAATGTATCATCTTCAAAAGCCACCTCTGCTCCTGCTAGGAGTTTCTAGAATGGCCAAGTTTTAAGTTTCCACCTTTTAGAAATCCTTCCCTAGTTTTCATTTCCAATCTATTTTTGTGTAAATCCAAGTTTTCTGCTAAAACTTGTTTTCTGGAAAGTTAACTTTTCCCAATAACCCCACAAAATCCACCAGGAATGATACTCTAATTTAGTTCATGTTCATGAGAGTAATTTGATGGGTTCCTTTGTATTTACATGTCTTTTCTTACAACTTGGGTTGTTTTAATGTCTCAGCCTATGCTCCTTGTTAAACTCCTGGATTATAACCTGACACTTCAAAACTCCTGAATATAGAAAATGCTAGAGCAGATTTTCTCAGCAAAGTCTTCCTTTGTAGACAGCTATAGAAGTCTTTGTGACTAGGTGTTTCTCTTTTCCAAATAAAAAGAAAATGTAAACCAAATGGAAAAAACATGCTTTTTCTAACCATACAGGGCCCTACCAGCCCCCACATGGTCTCTGTGATACGGCTGATAAAAGTACAACCAGGAGAAGCTCTCCCTCACCTGACACCAGGCTCCTGGAGATCCTGAAAGCAAGCCTGGGGTTACCTCCAATCCTTCTGGTTCTGGTGTACATCTCTAGATGACAGAAGATTCATTAGGAACATCCTTGGAACAAAGGTGAGTGGCTTATATTTTTATTAAATAATACACTTAAAGTATAAAAGTTGCCTAGGTACAAACAAATCACAGAATAATGCATATATAATAATGCATTGCTTCTAATTTGTTGATTTTATATCAGTATCCAAAATGTTATACTCCAGCATTTTTTCTTAATCTAGTCATGCATAATTGCAATTCCTGAGGTAAACTTAAGTGTCCACTGCCAACATCCTTGGATACAAACCAAGTCCTCTGGGAATAATTCAGATATTTATATTCCCACATACAATGGAATTCCTAATTGTAACCAGATCCTACAGATTTCATTTAAGAAATGGAAGTGAGACCTTATAAATACGTCTACACCTAAATGTAATTTTAGTCCACTAAGAGGGTCTCTCAAAATTCTTTGACAATCGTAAAGTATCATTTAATAATTTTTTGCATTTAGATCAAATTATTGGTTAATCTGTAAGGACTAAATATTAACTAGCACCAGATATAAAACGTTTCAGTAAATTCCAAGGGCAGCAGATTTAACACCCTGAAGAGAATGCCAGTGTTGCCAACAATAGCTCTTTTCTCACTTCCGTATGGACATGTTCAAGCAAGTGTCGCTGTATAGATGCTGTGTGGTTTTATTCTGGATATTCCTTCTGACTTTTGCTGACCAGGCATCACCAGTTGTTTTTAGTGAAATCAGTCTATGGTCTCCACATTATAGAATGTCTTAGTAAGCATCAAAGTAGCATTTTAGAGCTAGCAGTATGAGTTCTTACTGTTTTTCTATCCTGAAAGCAAAAAAATTACATTTAATAAGTCTGCTATACCCCAACTGGGTAGGGATTGGCCCTTACACAGCTCATTTTGAAACTGCACCACTGAAAGTCACATGGAGGTTAAACAAGGCCATCTTTTAAAAGGTACTTTTTGGTATTTCTCCTAAAACTTGTGTCTTCGTGCTTAGTCTACATTCTTTATATAATAAAATAAACTCTTTGTTTCACTTACAGCAAAGTCAAAGGAATTATTTCCCTGTCTACCATTTAATTAAATCTCCTAGAAGAAGCCAAAATGAGTTAAGGGAAGAAAAAGCACATTGTTACCTAGCTAAGACTTCAACTTGGGTAGTAATTCAGAGAGTTAAACCTAACTATAAATAGTTGCTGAAAAATAGCCAAGCCAAAAAGAAAAGATCAAACTTTATAGGAGTTAAATTTTTTCTGGCCATAGTATTCTTTAAAAAAATTTTTTTTAAGCTTGCATGGCTTTTCCCACAAGTCCACCTAATTCTAGCCTAAAAATTGTTTATAAGGTACCTTGTGGAAGAGCAGAGCATATGGCTATCTATGGAGGCCTGATTTTCTTAAAAGAACATTTAGGTTATGAAAAACCGTTATGTTTCTCACAGATTTAAGGGGCCTTTAAAATGCTCCCTAAAAACTACATTTTTTCCCCCAGTTAAATCCAATGACAGCTGGAGCTTATATTCACAATGCAGTTAGGCCATAGAGGGCTCGATGTTTTTCGGAAAGTCAAAGGACAATACCGGTAATGCATTTTGGTAACCTCAGGAGAATAAATAATTTAATACATATAAAGTTTAAAATAAAAGACGCCCCAGTGGGAATGTCATCTCTTCACTGCTTGAGATGCTTGAGGATCTTCAATATTCATACTTTCCCCTTCTTCCTTAGGTCCTCTGAAATGAACAGAAATAGTTATCAATAGTTATCAAGTCAAAATAGGCAGTAGGCAGACATATCTATAGGATGTTATATATTTAATATACACTGTGTGGATTCCTCAGATTGCTTAAAGCAACGAAAAAAATCATTTTTTAAAAAACATTTCTGAAGTAATCAAAAATATTTAGTATTAGGGACTCACTACTTAAAAGTCTGATTTTTTAATGAATAGAGAATACCCTATGTAAATAGTTACAAACTTCTCGTATATTACATCTTACGTTATAACTACGTTATATCGTTTACAATATACGTAAGGGATGGAATTTGCAGAAAGAATATGCAATAACAGTTTGAAGGATTTGCCAAAAATCTTTCATCTGAAAATAAGGGGGGGGGAAAAACCTTTCTTCAAATAGAAATGCCTCCTACTAGTACCCTCTTGTGGCAAAGAGAAAATTAGCACAATTTACATCTTCTTAGGAAACTTAGAAAACTATCCAGGAAATTAAAGAAAATGTCCTTCAGCTAAAAACAAAACCAAACAAACTTCTGTGAGAGCTTAGAGAGAAGAGTCCCTGGAACCACCCAATGTGCTCTGGCTATAGAAAAGAAGGAACCCAGTCACTTTTGCTCTGGGGACAAAGGCAGAAGTGTTCTGGATTAACAGAACCTGAAAAAGCTTAATATCCAAGTGTCAACAGCAAGGCAATGCACAAACTAAATTCCTAATAAAATGTGAACCCCAATTTTATCACTTTTTACAACTGAAAAAATTAACCATTTTCATGACAACTTGACAGCAGAAGGTAAAATATACAAATTTAGACAAATCTGCAAGTTAGACAAGATGCCAAGCAGATGGATACATGGTTTAACACCAAAAACACATATTGGGTTTTCTAATTATAAAGGTAATTTGATTGTACACCCAGTTTTATTATTAATTCAAAGTAGTTGATATGGCCCTCCTGGTGGTACAGGGCTAAATCTTAGCAGCCAATGAAGCAGGAGTTCAATCCGTGACCAGGGAGTGACCCACGGGGCACCGCAGACCTCTCCTGTCTCCCCGCTGCTCCCCTCAGCAGTGGATTTCAGTGGATCCACCTGTTCTGCCCCCCACTCTGTCTCTGGTGAGTCCTCCCATCCCCCAATACCTCTGGCCTACACCCCAGCTCTTGGCTGCATAAGTAAATAAAAAAAAAGAAAGAAAAGCAAAAAACAAATTAGCTGATCACTCTCACAAATATATGAAATGTTAATACTACTATACTACATCATGGATGACATTCTCTCTCCCTCAATTTTAGACAACTTTGCTCCGCAGACTAAAATTAACCATATTCTTAGAACATAAAATGCATCCTTAAAAAAAGTTATCCATGTACTTCATATACATGCATAAAATTGAGTTCATATTTTCTCTATCTTAAAAGAGCTCATCTTTTGTGGTACATATATACAATGGAATATTACTCAGCAACCAAAAAAGAGAAACACATGTCTTTTGCAGCAACTTGGATGGAGCTGGAAAAGATTATGCTTAGTGAGATAAGCCAGAAAGAGAAAGAAAAATACTGGATGGTTTCACTCATAGCAGGAGTATAATGGACCAGGCAAGAAAATAACAAAAATAATGAACAACCATATACCAGAGACATTCTGTGGGGGTGGAGTGGGGAATGGGATCAAAAGGGGGGGGGGGAGGGAAATGCAGGGGACTATGGTGGTGGCACAGGGGTGATTTGGTGATGGGAAACCCGTGGGGATTACAATCGAGATGGAAAAAAAAAAATGTGCAAAATGATGTAAAAATAAACTTTGTAATAAAAAAAAAAAAAAAGGAGCTCATCTTTTATTTCTACCAAAAACTACTTTGCCTCCAGTACCCTAAGAACCAGCAGGAGCAGCACCAGAGCGCTGCCTATCGTCCTATCATTTCATATGAACATTGCATTTTCCCCAATGCTTTAAAAACTTTGTTTAAAAGGATTTAAAAAAGTGCCTTCAAGAAGAAAAAAAGCTTTCATATTGGCATGCTTTAAGACTTATTTTCAAGTGAAACAATTTTAGTGTTTTATATTTCAGTGAAATGAGCTAGTGTAGAGTTAAGGTTCTATAATTCTAAGAATAATTATTTTATTCTAACCTTGTCACTGCTGCCAATAAAACTCGGTATCTTTCAGGCGGAAAGCCCACCACATGAAAGTGAAATGCGTCACCGGAACAGAATGAAAAGTTCTGCCTGACAGTTCCTCACAAGTCATTGCTCGCAGAGTTCACTCTGGTGCCAAGACAAATTTTGATGATTAAGAAAATGATCGGCAAAATCTCAGTCCTTCTTTTGTGTGTTCAGCAGACATCCTCAACTTCTGAGCCTCCAACAGAACTTTCCACAGAATAGGCATCCAACATTTCACTGACTTTCACTGATTCTCTGATGGTGCTTTACACACAAAGGACTCAGAGTAACTAAGGCCCTCTTTTTTTTTATCTGTCACTCTGTCTCCAAACTCAGAACGAAAACTCCTTGAAGGCTGAGACTGTCTTCTGTCACAGTTCTCTACGGGGAGCTTAGAATAGTATCTGCTACAACAGGCCCTCAAAAAACTCTTTAGAAGAGTAAATGATACAGAATAGCACAGAAGTTGCAGTGAAAGCCACAGTGACTTTTTTCTAAGTAAATGTTTGATTTTGGAATCATTTTAAATTTAAAGTTGAAAGATAATTCCCTTTTCCCATATGCTTTTTATCTAAGTTGTCCCTAATGTTGACATCTAAAGTATCTTATTTAAATGAATTTTGAACCTTTGACACTGCTCTCTCTGTTAACATCACTAAATGTGCTTTAAATTGCTTCACATTTGAGCAACAATCATTTGCAGAAACTCTCTTTTCTTAATTAGTATCTCCTAGTGTGGTGTAACATAATTGTTAAGTACTGCTCCCTCTATAAGAACTAGCAATATCTAAAAAACATTCGCTAAAAAACAGACTGCTAATGTGGAGAATAAATCTGGGAACAGGGGGAGGGGGAGATTTACATTTATTCTGTTACTTGAGCCCCTACCTATGACTGTTCATCTTTAAAAAAAAGGGACCAACTCTCTACCACTGAGTTGTGAACAATTCAATTGAGATGATCCAACTGAGGTGCTGCTGTGTTCAAAAACACCTGAAAACTCATTTAAAGACTGAACATTCTGAAAGAAGTGTGAACTCCTGCCTAAGAGTTTGATTATATTTAACTACAAATATTTGTAGCTAAACCTACCATAAAAAGAATCCTGAACATGGATCCTTCCTGGTGGCGCAAGGGTTAAATCACAGCACTGTGAAGCTATCGCTTCAGGAGTTCAAACCCGGGTCAGGGAGCTGACCCACGTGGGGTGGCAGACCTCTCCTGACTCGCCCACTGCCCCCCTCAGCAGTGCACTTGGTTGATCTTCCTGTTCTGCTCCCACTCTCTGTCTCTGGTGAATCTTCTGACCCCTGCACCTCTGACCTGTACAGGAGTTCTTTATGCATACATAAATCAATCTTTAAAAAAAAGTATTCTGAACATGCAAAACACATATAAACCCATGACTTCCTATCCATATTCATTGACCTTGCCTTTTTTTAGTCATGGAAGTAGAAAAATATGATGACTTGATTAAAAATTATTCAGTATACTAAGGCTCTAAGCTATACAAATCTATGTAAAAATCTGAGTTTTAATATTCTGAATAGAAAGTGGTAGAGAGTTGTCTAGTCATCCCCCACCTCCCTTTCAAGTTTCTCTTTGCAAAAAAAGACTGTCTTTTGAAGAATAAATAAGCTAGGATAAATACATTAGCTATATGTGCAACTGAAATATGAATCAAAAACTCAGGAAAAACAACTCCAAAGAGAAGCATATACATAGAAAGAAAACATACTTGCTGACAACTACATGATACCTCTCAGAAAAGTCCCACCTGTTTGCTTTCTCCCAGTTGGGTGTCTGGCAAGATTTGCCTTTGGAAGCTGAAGAGAAGACTTTTTCAGAGATGCAGTTGGGAAGTCATTCTTAGTCCCATGTAAGAAATGAGCTAAAATTCCATATAAAAGAGGTCTATAGCAGGAAGGAAAAAAAGTAATTAAATTTGCATAAATAGGAAAAGCTTAAAACATTTGTTCTTTAATAGGTAATCTATACAGGGGTTTCCCTGGTGGTGAAGGGGTTAAAGTCTCAGCACTATCAAGCTATCACTAGCCACTGCGGCGGCGTGAGTTTGACGCCCAGCCAGGGAGCTGACCCACATGGTACAGCAGACCTCTTCTGTCCTGTCCACTGCTGCTCTCAGCAGTCACTCTGCCTGTTCTGCTCCCCACTCAAAAAAAAAAAAAAGAAGATTTATTTTTTTTTATTTATTTATACATACAAGAGCTGGGGTGTAGACCAGAGATGCAGGGGCCAAGCAGAGGGAAGTGAGAGGATTCACCAGAGACAGAATGGGGAGCAGAACAGATGGATCTACTGAAATACTCTACTGAGGAGAGCAGTGGGAGAGACGAGAGAGGTCTGCTGGGCCATGTGGTCAGCTCCCTGGCCGGGGATCGAACTCATACTACAGTGGCTGGTAATAGCTTTATAGTGTTGAGACTTAACCCCTTGCACCATCAGGGAGGCCTCAATAAAAATAAATCTTTAAAAAAATAACAATAAAAGGTAGTCTCTACACTAGAAGGTCAAGTAATTAACTTGACTCAAAAGAACAAGGTTATATGGTTATTGTCCAACTTGCAAATATTCACGCTTTTGAAAATTTAAGGCCCTGTCTGGTGGCACAGTAGGTTAGGACGCAGCACTGCAAGCTGGTCACAGCTGCTTCAGTGTCAGTTTGATTCCCGGTCCCAGAGGTAATACACATGGTGCAGCAGACCTCGCCTATCTCGCCTGCTGCTCCCCTCAGCAGCGTACTTCATCGATCTGCCTGTTCTGATCCCCACTCTGTCTCTGGTGAATCCTCTTACACCCTGCACCTCTGGCCTGTACTCCAGTTCTGTGTGCATAAATAAATAAATCTTTTTAAAAAGAGAGAGAAAATAAATAATAAAATTTAAGAGTACCATTTAACCCTAATGATAACTTTAAAATCCACAGAAAATATCTTAACAAACCTCATCTAAACTAAAACACAATGTATAGGAATTCAATTTTTAACCTCCAGACCAGAATCTAATACAAGATTTTCCAATCTAACAATAATTGTTACACAATAGGTATTCAATAAACACTCAAGAGGTTAATAAATCCTTATCTCAAGAAGGTCTATGTCCCAAGAACTAAACTGCCTGTGTCAAAATCCTGGTTTTGCCACTTGCCCTCAGCAAGATTCTTCATGTCTTAAGACATAGAGTCGTACGTGTTCCTTCCTCTATAGGACTGGCCCCCACAGGGTTGCTGTGGACTAAACAAGCTAATATGCTAAGTGTTAGGAATTGTGCCTGGCACGTACTAAGTGGTGAACAAACGCTAGCCATTTAGAAGCTGGATAGTAACTACTAACTTAAAAGCTACTTTACAGTTTACTAACCACACAACTCCTCATGATTTTTGCCTCACCTATGATGTCATAACCATCACCCCCAACTTATAAATGACAGTACACAGCTCAGAGATGGTTTGCTAGAGACCCCTCGGTAAGCAAGTTGTATATGGGAACTCCAAGTCCTATATTCTTTTCCTTACAATACTGCCCCTGGGCTTTACATGCGTGCCCTTGCACAGCTAGAAGCTGCTCCACAGACAGTTATGGGAGCTACAGAGAAGTGCTTTCCTTTCTTTCAATCTCATCACTGAAAACACAGTTTAATGGATTCTACTGAGATTTCGACCTACTTATTAATAAGCATGATGATTTAAAGCATGACATTCCTTTCTTTTTGAAAGGTGCAACTAATCCCCTACCCTTGCGTGTGGACTGAACTCACTTCTAATGAACCAAGAAAGTGACAGCAGAGTGCCACCAGAGTAGGTCATAAATGGCTCTGTGCCTTTCTCCTTGCCTTGTCTCCTAGTGGAGTGGCATGTGACACTCAAGCTGTCCTGGAGAAAGGGACATATGGTGAGGAATTGTGGCCATCTGCAGAAGGCTATGTTAGTAAGCATCATGTCTTAGGAAGAGGAATCAATATAAGAAAATACTACAGAAATGCAAGCAAAGCTGAGCTTCTAAAATTGGAAACAAACATATATTACTAAACACACTATACATATAAATTTCACACACACCCTATTGATGCTAGAGGCTTGGGCCATAGCATAAAGGTGGCATATGATTCTGGAATACTGGTTTTACACAAAGATTTGCAGGAGAGTTAAATTTAACTAGCATGTTATTCAAAATACAGCGCATCCCTGGTGGCCAAGGGGTTAAGCACAGCACTATGGGGCTAACCACGGCCACTGCAGCAAGAGTTGGATTGCTGGCCAGGACGCTGACCCACATGGTGCAGCAGACCTCTCCTGTCTCCACTGCTCCCCTCAGCACTGTATTTCATTAAATCTAACTGTTCTGCTCCCGACTTTGTTTTTGGTGAATCCTCTCACCCCCTGTACCTCTAGCCTGTACCCCAGTTCTTGTATGCATAAATAAATAAATCTTTTTAAAAATAAGTAAAATACTTTTATGGCAAACAGAATTATACCATGAAAGGAATAAAAAAAAAAAACAATGATTTTTGAAAAGAAAATTAGTAGGAGGTTGATTTCATTACTTTCTTGGAAGTTGACAGCATTTTTGTTTTTGTTTTTAGAAAAGGGAGCTCTGAGCACATTCCTCGCTTAAAGTGACTGAAGCAGTGGTAAGGAAATTAAATATGAAGAACTGATAGAGTAAAGCCTCAGAAGAAAAAAAAAAGACTGGCCCAAAATCCCTGAGGAGTGACCCCGGGTAGAAGTGGGGGTGCTCGGTGCTCTGAAACCACAAGAACTGGGCTCCAGGAGCAGAGGCCTCCACTGACCCGGTCACTGCACACACCTTGGTTTGGGACAGACACATCCCCACTGCATCACCACTACGTGACTATGACTCCAACACAAGAATGTGATAAAGTTCTGAAAATTAATCAAAACAAAACAAAACATCTTACACTGTATTATCCTTTGATTCTTCAAATGCATTTAGTTCACGGATGAGAAACTGTCTGTCTAATGGAACGAGAGGTTGGCCAGATTCTGAGGGGAAAGTTATTAAACAATGAGTCTTTATTAATCTCAAAAGCAAATGCGACTTTGAAAACAAACACTCTTAACTATATACATACATTTTTTTAGATTCTGGAAGAAAGACAGCACTTACCCAGTCAGACTCAACTATGTATGTGATGTTATGACTTTCAAAATACTATTTTGTTAAACATACAACTTCCTACAGCTTAATATGAGTTCATTTTAAAAATCCTTCCATTTGGGGAAAATACTTTTCTGCATATAAAGCAGAACGCCAGACTTCAGGTGTCTATTTATTAAGAAGTCTATGAATTAAACATAGGGTACTGATAGCCATTTAGTGACAATAGTTCTAAAAGTAAAATGAACCCCGAAATGACAAATTGGCTAGTATACTGGGCAACTGGAACTCCCCTGGCTGAGGTGTAACAGTACAGCCACTCTGGCAAACTGCCTCCCACAGGGCGTGCTTACACTTCCCACAGTTCCGCAATTCTGCTCTCAGCCCTTTACCCAGTGAAATGAAAAATTATGTTCACACATAGTCTTGTATGTGAATGTGCATGGCAGCTGCCAAAAACTATACACAAATGTCCATCAACTGATAATAGGTAGACTGACACAGCCACACAATGGATGCTATTTGGGAGGGGAAAACCAACACAGTTTAAAGCTGAAATGCATTAGGCTAAGTGAAAGGAAGCAGAACTTCCATTTACAGGGCATTCAGGAAAAGGCAAATGATGGATACAGAAAACTACAGGTCAGAGTTGCTGGAGGTAGGGAGTAGGAAAGATGACCTTGACTACAGCGACACTATTTTTTAATGTGTTGGGAATACTCCACATCACTACATGATTGTTGTGGTAGTTACACGATAGTCTACATTGGCAAATCCACAGAACTGTATATTAGAAAAGTTGGAGAACACTATATGTTAATTATACAGTTTCTTTTAAAATCAAGACACTGATATGAGTCTTGGCTACTGTCGCTACTATTAAGGGAAGCCCAAGTCTAAGACATATAACTGATATGTTCATAGTTTTCTTCTTTTCTGAGAATTAATGACATTATATAGCCATGATGCCTGAGCAAAGTAGAGACACTGATAGTAAAGATCCCTAAACCAATAAAAACCATTAGTCTACTAGTTAAGATATATACTTAATAGTCAATAAAAGATCTGTAATGAAAAGTTCCAGCATCACAAATAAAGCATCAAGTCTCTTTTCTTCTTCATGATCCCTTGCTGAGCTCTAAGGCACGAAGTTGCCTTAAAGCACAGACTGCTCCCTAAACAGGGAGTCGGATGAAGTGCATGTGAGGAACGTCTGTCCACCCACCCAGGCTCACTTCCTTCCCACCACAAGTGACGCCCAGCTCAGCTATTGCATCTATTACCAATCTTCTATTTACTTAAAGATTAAAATGCAATATACAGTAAGTTTCTCATTAAGTGTCCACCCACATACAATCTAATACCTCACTAGAATTTGTTTGGAGTTTACCTTCCTAGTTTCTAGTTCTGGATTTTTACAAACACTAACCAATACATAGCAGTGAGATTTTGAGGCTTTAGCCCCAATATCTCACATATTTTTAATAAAGTATATAAATGAATGCTGTATATGTGTGTGTTTACTGGCAACCACTGGCTACTGGCAACAAACAGGATAAAATGTAAACAATTGCTCAGTCTCAGAATCAGAATTATGGTTGATTTTTCAGAGTATGTGCCTAGGCTAAGTGCTTCTTTCCACTTGTTTTTACCTACAATACAAGGTACAATACAATGCACAACAGTCCATGTGATTTTTATGTCCAATCTCCTCAGATGACACTGGTAATGGAAATAGATTTCTGAATAGAAAAAGCAAGTTTTGTATCAGGTGATTAACCTCTTACCTGCTATGAGAACAGATGCTGTGTATTTATATTTGTTGAATTCCAAGTATTCCCGAATTAATTCGTTAATTAGAAGGTTTTCATGAGACAATGATGGTCGGGGTTCACTTTCATCATCTAGGGCATTGAAAACTTCAGCTCGAATCCTTGCTTTCAAATGCCCTAAAACTCCCCTTTTTTCCAAGGTGTCCTTTAAAACTGTTAAAGAGAAACACAGATGTTTCAATTATAAATTTTGTCATTCTTTAGGCACACTTTGAAGAAAAATGTTTGAAAGATAAATGACCAACTGCAGTTTTCAATGTAAACATGGTAAATGACATTCACTATTGTGAGTCATAAAAAATAAAGCTCCCAAGTTGCAAAGATCTACAATTTTATCATATTTAAGTGTATCCTTCCACATCATCATTGTCAGGGGCTACAGTCTACTACACATTCACAGTAAGGGAAAAGAAGGGGACAGAAATGGATTTTGTTTACTGGGCCCTGAATGGCCTCATATATTTTCAAGTGTGTCATGTTTTCAAATGTTTGTCACTGCAAGCAGGTTCTATTTGTCACTAAAAAATACCTGGTCTAGGAAGAAGAGGATTAAAGTATACTCCATAAAGGATTATGTTGAGGTTCCATATAAAAATCTTTGATCTTTTGAAAAGGCAGTGTTTTGTTTTAGTGCTTGTTTTTTGAAGGTAATTATGAGATAATCCTATACTTGAACCTTTATTGCCCCTTATTTTTAAATCTTCCCCCTATCATGTTTGTAGGTACACAGCATAGTGATCACCCAATCAGGTTTTGGAAGAGGACTTTTGTGAAAGAAGGGGAAGCCATATCATAACCAATTCCTGTTCTCAACTTCAACTTTGGAAGGCAAATGAATTTTTCTCCAAAGAAATTTTTTCTCCAAAGATCTTTGCCACTAGCTGGCAAAGATCCTGTCCCAGCTAGTCTATTTGCACATAGCACAGACTCACTCAGTACAGCACCCGGAACTCAGGAAGCTCGAGTTAGAAAACCTAGCATGTGATATCACCAACTCATGCCTTAGCTGCCTTCTTCAACATAATGATTTCTATCCTGTTGGAGGCACAAATGAGGTGGGAAAATGTACACAAGCCAATTGCTTGGTAGACACATATTCGCTGGGTTTCTGCTGAACACTTAACACTTTCATACCTGCAGAAAGAAATATATTCTTTTTATCAGCGAAGGACATCCCTATTCCCCAGAAAGTTATGCCTTCTTCTGAGGTTCCATTTCTACTTGCCCTACTCGCTATTGTTTTAAAAGAGAGGGACAGGTTACACTGTCCAAATTTCTCCAGAAAGAGGTTTCGTAACCTGGCACAAATCCTCTGAAGTTGTATGTAACATTGCATGTGACACCTATTTCCTGGGGTGTATTTCCTGATATGTTCAGCTCTTTGGATAAAAGCCTGCCTTTTTTTTTTCTTTTAAATGGCTGCTTACAAGTCCAGTGTCCCATATATGCATTTACATCAGTGTTTATTGAGCCACATTCTCAAGGAAATGCCAACTCTCTAAGAATTACTGGTTTTGACCTGAAAAGGGAACTGATTTTACTAACAAGGCAGCAGTATCTGTGGTTAAGACCTGGGGCTCAGGGCTCTCCTTGATGGCACAACAGGTTAAAACACAGCACTATGAAGCTGTCTGCAGCCACTGCAGCATGAGTTCCATCCCAGCCAGGAGGTGACCCACAAGGTGCAGCAGACCTCTCCTGTCTCCCCGCTCCTTCCCCTCAGCAGTGTATTTCACTAGATCTGCCTGTTCTGCTCCCAACTCTGTCTGGTGAAATCTGTCACTCTCCCATCAGCCCCCACCTCTGGCCTGTACCCCAGTTCTTGTATGCATAAATAAATCTTTTTTTAAAAAAAGACCTGGGGCTCTCAAGCAGCATGCATAGCAACTCTGTGCTTCTTTCTAAGTCACCTTGAGTAAGCTATTTCACCTCTTGGCACCTCAATTTCCTAACCAGTGAGTCAATGAGATAACAGGAGGCTGGGTGAGTGGGTGGCGGCTGACACCTACGGCTCAATCACTGATAACGATAACTAGTATCACAACTAGTATCGCTTGTTTGGGCAGTTGCGTCAGTTAACGGCGTACAAATGTTAGTACTTACTGATTCACACCTTGAAGGAACTTTCCCGAAAAAGGAGCGGAGCCAGGAAACATTCTGCCTCCCTGCTTCCCCGCTGGACAATCGGGACCGACCTCGCAGGCTGTCTTAATCACGGCACCTAACACCCGAGGCCCAAGGTGCAGGCCGGTAGACCCGTCGCGCACCTGCAGAGCCTGCGACTCCTCCCGCAGCTCAAAGTCTGTTTAAAAGTTGCCGCGGGGTCACCACTTCTCTCACAAAGCCCGGGCCAGCCCAGCCGGACCCCCCCGCCCCCCAGACTCCGAGACCGCAGAACGACCCCGGGAAAAACGGACTCTAGGGTTACGCGCATGCCCTCTTTTCGTCCCATCTTTCTCACAGGTAGCTCACCCGGCAAGCCTCCCGCTCGCACTCACCAGCCTTCAGCTCGGTGACAGTCGCCATTTTTCAACGGCCGCCAGAGGCGCGCCTCTCAAACGTGCGCACGCGCAGTTTCGCGGTGTAGTCTGTAGCCAATAAGCGCGCGGTGTTCGCCGCGCTTAGTACCGCCCCTTTCAGTTTATGCTCTCCGCGATTGGGTGGTTGGTAAATGTCCAGAGAGAATTCACCAATCAGTCTTGCTTAGGAGGGTGGAAGTGGAGCGGGTTCTGAGGCAGGTGGGCGCTATTACCTGTGGGTGGTGCTGACACTCTGATTTGTTGCCTTAATCTACTAAGCCTTTCTTGAGAGGCGCATCGCTCATAATGCAGTTTGAAGTGCTAATTGTTCATAGTCACCATGTATTAGGCTTGTGGTTGTCAAACTTGAGTGTGCATCAGACTCACCAGAACGACTTGTTAAAACAGATCGCGGGGCCCCACCCCTGGAGTTTCGCATTCGGTAAATCTAGGACAAGTTCCAATAACGTGTAGTTCTAACAGGTCCCTAAGCGCTGCCACCGCCACTGCTGCTGCTGCTGTGCTGATCCTACTTTAAGTATCACTATATTAAGTATGAGCCTGACGCTATGCTCAGTGCTTTACCCACATTGGCTCTTTGATGTCTCACTCCCATTTCTTTGATGATTGAATAGATGTAACCAAGATCACCAGCAAATGGTGCAGGTGAGGTTTGAATTCACATAAGGAGGAAATGGAGGAAAAGGAACATGAGCATAAGGTGCCCACAATTGAGTGGAGTTTCTGTGACTCCCGTTGTGTTGTCTGGGAGACCAACATTTGTAACCTACATCTTACAGCTCTGCCCTATAACCGCAGGTCTGAACACAGCAGTGTGTTTTGAAATCTGTATTTTCCACGAATCCCAATGAGCATGTTTTCAAAGTAATGGGATGGATAGGAAACATTGAAGTTTTGCTGTTTATTTTAATGATTTTTTGAAACGTTGTTTTGGAAAAAACGTTTGTTCTGGCTTCTGGGTGTGTGTGTCTTAAAGTAGGAGGCAGTCCCCTATAGGAAACATTGATTTGTGGGACACAAATCTATCCTTAACCTTAAAGAGGTTCCATCCTATCACATGTCCCAATTGTATAAAACAGGGTCTGACTTCCTGGACTGCATCTGAAGAGACATAAAAGATGAACTAAGAATCTCCCTGGTGGCACAAGGAGTTGACTCATCACTGTGAAGCTATCAGCAGCCACTGCAGCATGAATTCCATCCCTGGCCAGGGAGCTGGCCCACAGGGTGCAGCAGACCTCTCCTGGCCCACCTGCTGCTCCCCTCAGCAGTGTATTTTGGTGATCTGCCTGTTCCGTTCCCCACTCTATCATCTCTGGTGAATCCTCTCTCACACACACCCCTCCACGCACACCCCCCCCCGGCCTGTACTCCAGTTCTTGTTTGTATAAATAAATACATCTTTAAAAAAAAAAAAAGTGAACTAAATTCCCTAGGTCGGATGTTTGCGCTCTTCAGAGAAAAGCACTCCAGATACACTAATGAAGAATACTGAGAGAAGCACAAATAAATGTGAGTAAATAAGTGATAATCACACAATAATTAATATTCATTGCCACTCTGTGTGTGGCAGGCAGTGCTATAAAAGCTTCACTTTAAGTCCTTGCCAACAAGCCTGTGAGGTCAAGACTCACAATCATCTGAAGTTTCACTTAACAACATGCACTGAAGTTGGGTAATGTTCTGTGCCAACAAGCATGTGGGGAATCAGCTATACCTGGCTAATAGGTGGGTCACTTGGCACTGCCTTCTCAGATGGCTCTTTGGCAATATCTAATCACCCTTTCACACCCTTTGCCCCATGCATTCTAGTCTCAGAATGTCTCTCACAGACATATACTGACTTACTAAGGATATATGTCAGGATGTTCATTGTCATACCTATCTACACCTATCAGAATGGCCAAAAGAAAAACAACTGACAGCAACAATACCGAATGCTGTTAAGCACAGACTGCTGGTAGGAAAATAAAGTGGTGCAGCCACTTTGGAAATTGGTTTGGCAACCATTTAAAGTTGAACCCACACCCAACATCAAACCAAGTAATCCCACTCCTGGGTGTTTACCCAAGAGAAATAAAAACATGTCCACACGCAAGCTGGTATGCAATAATAGCAGATTTATTCATAATTGCCCAAGTGGAAATAACCCAGTGTCTTCCCATTAGTGAACAGATGCACACTAGCTGTGATAGTTCCACACTGGAGGCCATCACTGAGCAATAAAAGGAACCAACCTCCCATGCATGCAACAATATAGATGGTGCTCAAGTACATTGGGCTGGATGAGAGAAACAAGACTCAAAGTCTTCCTCCTTTAGATGTGTGTATGATTCCATTCACATGACACTTGGGGACAGGTAAATATAGAGATAGAAAGCAGTGAAGTGTTTATCAGGGGCTAGGGATAAGTGAAGGAGCTCTCTAGAGGTGACCCAGGGAGTGGAACTGTTCTACCTCTTGGGAGGTAACTAAGGGAGGATACACTTTTAACCAAGCTTCCTAGAGCTCTACATTTAGAAGGGTGAACTTGACCACATATATGTCAGTCCACATAATGTTTAAAAAATTACTGGAAATAGCCATATCATCAGTAGTGGAAATGGTTGCATATTAAGTAAGGTCCAACCATAAATGTGAAGTCATCCCAAAGAAGAGAGAGATCTAAACATATATGTATGGAAATATCAGCAAGATGCATCAACAGGAATTTTATGAGATCTAGTGGACAGGGTGTGGAATGCCCTCAATGGTTTAGAGAAGGGGGAACGCTGAAGTTAAGTAAGCACTTGCCTATACATCAGTTAACTCTGAAAAGATACACAAAAAGATACATAAACCAAAATTGCCTCTGGTGGGGCCTCCCTGGTAGCACAAGGTGTTAAGTTCCAGCCACTGCAGCATGTGTTACATCCCCCGCCAGGGAGCTGACCCACATGGCACAGCAGACCTCTCCTGTCCCACCCACTATTTCAATGGGATGGGCCTGTTCTGCTGCCCACTCTGTCTCTGGTGAATCCTCCCACCTCCCACACCTCTGGCCTGTACCCCAATTCTGTGTGCATAAATAAATAAATTTTTAAAAAAAGAAAAGAAGCAGAATCTGCATAATTTCATGGCTGCGATAATGAGCATTACAACCAATTGTTGCATCTTACTTTTCTTTTTTTTTTAAAAAAAAAAAGATTTATTTATTTCCTCATACAGAACTGGGGTACAGGCCAGAGATGCGGAGGGTGAGAGGATTCACCAGAGACAGAGTGGGGAGCAGAACAGGTAGATCGACGCAGTGCACTGCTGATGGGAGCAGCGGGCGGGTCAGGAGAGGTCTGCTGCGCCATGTGGTCACCTCCGGGGCAGGCGGGGATCTAACTCATGCAGAAGTGGCTTAAGCCTCTCAGCACTGTGCTTTAACCCGCTGCGCCACCAGGGAGGGCCCTGCATCTTACTTTTCTTTGATGCTTTGCCCATATCATAAACCAGAAAAGATATATATGGTGTTACTGAGCGTGTATAATGTGAGAGCATTTCAAGCCAGTGGGGAGAGTACATAAGGAAAGAGCCAACAAGGGTGTATTCTCAAATGACAGAATCTAATTTTGATGTTTTAATCATCTAGTTTTGAAAGTTGGTGAAGGGCAGCACCATCTTATCTGTGTCAATGCTTATCACAGGCCGGTTTCTCACGCACAGACTGTTAGATATCTTTGTGCTCCCTGAGGTCAGTACTTGTAATGGAGACCACGTAGCCAGCGAGCTTAAAATATTAACCTGGTTCTATAACAACAAATTTACAGGCTTCAGAATTCTTGCTTTATTACTTTCCTGGTTCAGGAGTCTATTATTATTTTTCCAGCCAGTGTCAGTAATAATGGACACAGCAGTAACATGATGAAACCCTTGCTATGTGTGTGTCTCATTTCTTGTGACTCTAAAGTGATCTGGGAGCAGATATGATCATTGCAGGGTTACAGAGAAACTGAGTTTGGAGCATTTTTTAAAAAGATTTCTTTTAGGGGCTCTCCCTGGTGGCGCAACGGGTTAAAGCACCGCATTATGAAGCTCTCCAAAACCACTGCAGCAAGAGTTCCATCCCCCACCAGGGAGTGACCCACAGGGCGCAGCAGACCTCTCCTGACCCAGCCCGCTGCTCCCCTCAGCTGTGTATTTCAGTATACCTGCCTGTTCTGCTCCCCACTCTGTCTCTGGTGAATCTTCTCACCCCCCACACCTCTGGCCTGTACCCCTGTTCTATAAGCATAAATAAATAAATCTTAAAAAAAAACCTTTATAAAATAAAATAAAATATTTATTTTATTTATGCAGACCAGTGTTGGGGGGAGTGGTGAGAGTATTCACCAGAGGCAGAGTGGGGAGCATCAGGCAGATCTTCTGAAGTACACTGCTGAGGGGAGCAGCCAGGAGACAGGGAGGTCTGCTGTGCCCTGTGGGTCACCTCCTTGGCTGGGGATTCAACTCTTGCTGCAGTGGCTGCCAATTTCTTCACAGTGCTGAGACTGAACCCCTTGCACCACCAGGGAGGCCCATGTTCAGAGAGCTGAAGTAACTCCTAGGGAAATGAGAAAGGGCTTGACCCCATTCAATGAGCTCCTGCCCAGCTTTCATTTATGCTGAAATGAGGGTCTCTTCTCACTCCTTCCACGCCTCCAGTACCTCTTCTCCCTGCCTCCCCCCTCTTTTCTTACTGTTAGGTCTTTGCAAGTCCCTTCCCTCAGCTGGGAAACTTTCTCCTGCTCTCTCCTTTCCCTCCCTAGTTAATTTCCACTCACTCTTCTGGTCTCAGTTTTATGTCATCTCTCCCTAAACCTTTCTTGGCTAGATCAAGCTCCTCTACCAGTTCTGTTTGTGTGCAGAGAAGGGGAGAGGCTGAGAAAGGGAGAGGTATAGAAATAAGAGAAGGCTTCCAATAATGACGTGCCACCACCCTCCCCCCAGGCCCAAGGTCAGGTCTGGTGCCTGGTTCCCAGTGGAATAAGAAGGCCTCCCCCCTCCCCCATTA